GACCGTTCCCTTCTTTCCTCCTAAACTCAATGAGATTTTTATTTTAGTGCAACAATACTAAATATTTTTCTGTGCCTGGAGGCACTGCTTTTTACACAGGGTGGACGAGCTTTTCAACTCAAGAAAAACCGTAAGCCAGATCAATCTTGCACCTTTGACCTACACAATTACAATAAAATCAATGCATTTTATAAGAAAATCAGTGTAGTTCCTCCAGTTTACATTATAATAAAACAAAACATAAAAACTGAAAAATAAATCAAGTATTTGTGGCTTTTTGTTTGCCAGTGTAGGGCTTTTTCAATCAAATTAATCTGATTAGAAAAGTAGTCTTAAACATAGGAGCAGTGGGGGCGGGAGGTCAAAGAATAAATCTGAGATGCTCTGGTATCTCAGAAGGAAGTGTGGGAGCAACACTTAGAAATTAGCAATGGGAGGGTAGACAGTCTAAGAACAACTCAATTCCCAGCATGCAGCAAGATCTGTGGAGGAGGACACTGCTCTATAGGGTTTGGAACGGGAGTGGGAGCCCAGCCTAACAGATCTGATTACAACAGTTAGGAAAGTTTGCTTTCCATTTGCAAGGGCTTTAAATTTATTATCTAGAGGTGATGAAGAGAAACTTTCTAAAGAATTGAGAGGGAAAATAAGATAAGGGGTTAGGATTTCCTCCTTCCCTCATCCACCAAAACTCATTTACCTGTGACTAATGCAGTGTTTGTACATGATATATATGGGCCTGACTTTGGCTGTGACTTGGCTCCAAGACTGAAGCTAGTTAGAAATAATAGGGGTGCATTTTACAGTCAGTTCTGCAGAGGGGCAATGATGATGGCAGAAGATGGATGTCTGTGTTTTTCTTTATCCTTGCTGAAGCTGGATCTATGCAGCAAGGGCAGCAGCTGCACTACTCAGTTTGGTGCTGTAATAAAATAAATATACAGGCCAAGTCTTCTGCACGGAAAGCATTAAGCAATGTTACACAATGTTCACATGCTGTATTCTTGAATTTTCAGGAAAACATTCCAACAGCAGTGATAATATTGACACTAGCCAAATCCATATAGCAAAGCAGAATTTCCATTTAACATCTTTTTCACCTCCGAGAAATTGTCTAGCCTTGAAAATATGATATTTAAAGAAATCTTACTTTAATTAACTTTCATCCAACCTTGATACTGAGATTAATTCCCACTGGAATGATGCTCTACCTGTCTACTTATATGACTTACATGACTAGCTGACTTGTTTGACAGTACCTATTATCTTGATACACCAGACTGTGGTATTTTTTACATGTTACAAATATAATGTAAATTTAATTATAGAAGAATCATACAACAAAACAAAACCCGTCACATTTAAAAGCCAATTGGAGTAAAGGCTATTTCAACTGGGCTTCTTCAGAGACAACGGTATTACCATAACTCCAAAGCAATCTCTACTGATGTGCTCTTTTCCTCCTTTACCTCCTTTCACGAATTGCTTCATGTTTTAAAGATTGCCCTTCTAACAGATAATAGATGCACATAGTTTTCTTCATAACTTTTACACCTATCTTGTTTATAGATTGAAAAAAGTTTTACTAAAACACTGTCTAAAGTAGACGCACTGATTTTTAATTTTGATTCCTTGCCAATATTTGGATGCTCTGGGCAGTATTCAAGCAGAGATTGCAAACCAGTAGAAAATGAAGTTGGCAGACAGTTGATAAATGCTTTGGCTTAAAATTTGGAATGTTCACTTAACTCATGAGCATGAGTTATTTCCTAGATTGGGGAGAATAAATAAGGCAAATTTACAGAGCTGCCTACTGGGGACTGACTTGCACCTGTCCCTGTGGGATGATGCCCACAAATAGTTTGCAGCCATTGCTCTTGAGAGACTTGGCACTTCTACAGAAGCATATCCAAGTGCTGTGGCCTGTGACAGTTTAAGAGGGCACCTAATTAATGAGCAGCTCCTATTATGAATATCGGTTAAAGGAAAGGAGGGAGAGGAAAGACTGCCTGATTACAATAAATTACAGGAAGCAGTTGTATGAAGGAAGGTTATTTTATTAGTCACCAGGAAAACTAAAGGCTGTTAAATTTTAAACTAACTAGTCTTTAAAAGGTCTTTGGCATCACAATCCTATCTGAGTAATCCATTTGGATCAGTTAACTCATTGATGTATACTTCAGCTTGTGAATATGAAATTTTAAGACAAAACTATGTTACAACAGCATGACCATATACTGTAAAAAAGCCACGGCTGATGTCATATATAAGACTTTTACTTTTTAGGAGTAGAATAAAGGCCTTTTACCATTAGTCATAGAAGCTTGTTTCTACAGTGACAAATTCCACCAGGCTGAAGTGCTCCAGCAATCTTCTCTAAGATGAGTGGTGTGTTTAATTTGGTGATCCTATTTGCTAAGAGCTCATTTTGAGGCTACACTCTCACCAAGTCAGGAAATTTCTCACTTTGGTAATCTAATAATCTTTAAATAGCTCAAAGAGAATTTGGCCTGAAAAAAAGGCTGGGAGCTTGCTACGGCAGTGCCTCTGAAAAATCTAGCTATGTACTTCAGAGACTGCAGTGACAAAAAATGCAAAGCTGAGATTCTTTTCACATTCAGGTGTTAGCCAGTTTCTGATTTCTCAGCTGCTTACTCTTGTATATCCTGTTTTTAACTGACAGGATCTATGAGAATAAGGAGCATGGGATCATTCATGTAGACCTCTTCTTTTGGAAAGGTCAAAAGAATATCCATGTGATGCAAAATCCTTAAGCCTCTATTTTTGTCTGTTTTCTGTTATCGCCCAACAAGTTCCCCAAATGTTTCTCAGAGTCCTTCTAGTGGTACCTTCCAGAATATAGTCAGTCCAATGTTCATCTTCATTAATTAATTACCTTAAATTCTTTGCACCTTGGAAACTACCTTAAGACTAAGTATTTGATGGATAATGAGGTTCTGAATTCTTACTGGGAGAGCTAACACAAATAATAGCGGTAGCGTTGTACTAGTATTGGTAGCAAATACCCCTGCCACTAATACAGCAAGACTTGTGCTTACTATACAAGTACTGCCACCAGCTCAGGTGAGTTCTTGATCAATGACAAATCTTTAGGAAGCAGCTGATCTCTGAAGTACAGTATGATAAACCTGTTATCACTCCAATCTACTGGCTGCAAATAAACTGAGTGCAATGAGGAACAACTAGTGTAAAACCCATATGCATTACCTTTCTAGTGCTCACTACTACTTGTGAACTCTAGCTCTATTGGAAGAGAAGGCTTCAGTATTTTTTTACATTTCTGAGTATTAACTTTTATACACGTCGCATTTATTCCACTGTCAATGTAATACTGTTCAGAGTTGCTAAACTTATTTTGTAACACAACCGTGGAGCTGCATCTGTAATCACTGCATTATAAGAACAAACAATCTAGTCTTAAACAGAATAATAACCTTAAGAAACATGAGCCTTTTGACATATTTTCTCCATAGTATGTATCTTTTGAAAGTGCAGAAATATTTTAGGTTTGTTTTTTTGTTTGTTTGCTTGTGCTTTTTTTAGTTTTTTTTAGTTTTTTTTTTTCAGTTGGCAGCCACAGAATGCATTCTGATTAAACTGTGTAATATCCAGTCAAATAACAGATCAAATAAAAAGGACACTTAATACATGTGTAAATCATTTGAATTACAAATAAGACACTCTAGAAGGGGCTTGGCTCTAGGTTTGATATAGAGGATTAGGCTCTCGTATTAATACGTGCACTTGGTGTAGCTATTTTCAGAAGGATACTTCATCTATCATTGTCCTCGAGCACTAAGGAGGGCTGGTAAGTAAAATAGTCACGTTGATCTGTCAACACTACTTGCTTAAGACTCACTTGTGCAAAAAGTTTGGTTTTCATATGCCCCCAACCCAACAAGGTGCTGAAACTGCCTAATGCTCCTGAAAGTTTCTCTGCTTCTGCCTTCCACAAAACCAGAAAATATTTCAGGAAGATTTTTAAAATAAAGCAAATGCTATTGATAGGTCAGTGTTAAATCAAATGTACTCATTTAAACTACACACAAGCCTGTCAGATCTGTCAGAATTGCTGGGAAATAAATACTATTTAATGACTTCTGTGTTTTCCATAAGATCATCTTTAGGATTAGACTCAGTTTTGCATTTGGGAATGCATTAGGGAACCTGTCTGTGTACCTCTTGTTTCCCAACACTAGCAAAGCATACACAGTTTGCACGTTTATGGCTTTACAGAAGCTATGTATATTGCCAATGCTAAACAATAACCATCAAAAATTCATGCCAAAAGATCTAAATTTTAAAGAAAAATAAAGAGCTATAGAAAAAAATGAAACTTACAAACATAATAGTACCACAAAAGGGGACAGTATTACTATCTTTAACTATCCTTCTGAAACATAAAAAAACAATTTCTGTAGCATGGCAAAATGGATCATTCCAGTTTGATTTGTACAGAAAAACTTACTAAATTTTTCACTTATGCATTGGACATGCAGAATATATTTTTGTCAGAACCTTAAAACTGTTTGATGAACACATTCTTTCTATTCAATAAGTTATAAAACTTTAAGAAAATGTATCAACATGCTGACTCTTTAAACCATAAGAAATGCTTAGTTCCTCTTTTCCCGTCTAGAGTCTTAACTATAGAAAACCCACTAATTACGCTACAAAAATCCTGCAGTCTTTAAAAACCAAAAACATCTTTTGCTCTATCACTTTCTCAGTATCTCTGCAAAGCCATTGTTTATTGCCGAAAATAGCTGGAGGCCAAAACAGTTTTGTGCTTTAACCCTACCTGAAAGTAGTTTAAAAGGATCCATGATCTGAAATGATAGAGTGATGTTACACGACTATCACTCTCAGATATCATTAGTTTCTGAAATATGCAAGATGATCTAAAAAGTGTTTTGTGTGTGGGCATACTCATAATTCCTGTAACTAAGAAACTTTCAGGTAATATTTGTTATGCTTACCATCTTTCTTGGTGGGTTCTGGCATTGTTACAAGAATTCTTTATTCCCAGTGAGTTTCAGCCTTTCAGATGCAGTAAGTAGTAGCCCCAAGTCCAGCTGAGAGCATGTGCAGATCAGTATGACAAGCGAAGGGTAAGAAGAATTCCTCTGCTTTATATACTGCAACTGAAGTATCAATCAAAATAGCACCTCCTCTCTTTTCAATGCAAACACTTTGAAAATCGACAGTTATGGGAACCCCTCTCACATCTGTTGTCTGCAGCCTCTGCTCCCTTGGCTTTTGGAAGGAATCTCTGCTGCATTGCATGGGGCTGATGAGAACATCTATAGCTTTCTAAATTCAGCTGCGCTGCTTACTCTCTGTGTCTCTCTCTGTAACATGCAGACAAGCACACAGACACAGAGGCTGAAAAAGTGACTCGTACACTATTAAAGAGCCCCTCCTGCCTGTAGAACTTACAGGAACTACCTGTGTACAGTTATGCCTTTTCCTACAACACAGAAGAGACAAATGAGTATGGACAGAATGCATGCAGTGAAACTTCATTTCCTTCCTTTAAGAGAAAGTGGTATGAAAAGATGCAGTGAGAAGTAGAGAACTTAGCAGTGTTAATGAATTAAAAAGGATTATTTTGTTCCTGTTTGGAGCAGTGAAGACCCTCTATATTTTCCATCTGTTTACATTTGCTACATTTTCTCGGGTCCTTTCTCTATAGCCATCCTCACCTTGGCTTCATTAGTGACTGCAGTGTTCCTTTCAGCAATGCTACCTTATTAACTGGAGAGGTCACTGTTAAGAGACAAGATCTTCTCTTTTCCACTCATTCAGGAGATGCAACACTCTCCGCCTTTGTCAAGCCAGGAAACCAGACAGAAGAGATGGAAATGCACCAAGCCACTAAACTGAGCCACTGGGCTGCCCTCCTATTAAACTCCTACTTAAACTACGAACATGTCAGCAATAGAAACGCAGGTCAAGTTAATCAGGGGTACTAGGATTTATTTTCTTATTCCCTTCTAGGATTTTAAGACAAAACTGTAGCAATTAGTGCAACAGAAGAAGTGGTCCTAAAGGGTTTTACGCTATTAAAACACGTGTTCATATTATTATCACATATCAGTAAGAAGTAGGCTGCTAGACAGACTGCTCTAGATACACCCAAATGCTATGGAAAATTTATTGCATGTCTTTGAATAGTAGTTGGACAGGGAATAGTGGTTATATGCCTGTTTATCCTGTAGCCAATGCATGATTGTTTCCTCTACAATCTGCTGTTTTCTGGCTATTTAGCCATTTTATAGACATCTTATGAGGAACAGACACTTCATTCTTTGTTTTGAAGAGACTAGACTATCATCTGGCTTTTTCTACCCTACTTATTGTGGTGTTCTATTATTTAACTGATTTTGTGTCTATAAAATACAGAGAAAAGACCCCTGCCTACAAGAACCTAAGCAAGAAATATTAAAGCTATTTACCTTCTTCGTTTCACATTAATATCGAAGTAAGCCTCCTTATATCACCGAAATAATTCTTGACCTTGGAAAGTAAACAGAGCACTACCTTGAATAGCTAACTGGGGGTTTTCCGTCTCTGTGCATGAGTTTAATGGCAGTGGGGAATAGGTGCATGAACAGCCCTAATAACATTACAGAGATAATTTTTTCTTGTTCTTCTTTCTTCTGTTCAAATCCAGACACCAAATGCTGTGATTGCTGGAACCAGCGTGGGGATGAAGAGCAACTGCTGATACTATCCAGCATGGTGTTTCCTTAGCAGCCCAATTTAAGTTGTAAAGACAGTTTGCTTTACCTTTCACCCATCATGTGCCTAAGAGGTGCTGAGAATTATGTGTCTGGAGATTCCTGTTAATACAAACAGGATTAAATATGGTCACAGACTAGCACTGGACAGGTTAGAGATGACCTCCATTGCAGTCTCACAATGAGAAAAGATTGAAGGTCACTGCTTATCATTACAGCCTTAAAGGGCTTCCTTCATAGGAAGAGGAAGAAGGTTATTCAGGAAGACAGACTCTAACTATGATTCTAAAATAAAACTCATTAATGACCTTTATACTACTAAATAAATGAGCACTGGCCCAGAGGCCAAGTAAAAGTGTGAGGTTCTCATCTGTACAGCAAAACTCTTTTTTGACCCTAAAACCAGGAGACTGCAGCCAAAATGGCCACAGGGAATGGTTGCTGGCATGTGCCTGAGCTATGCTTAGGTACAGGTGGGAGAGTGCTAGCTGGCCCAAGCCAAAGTATTTCCAGGGAGCGTGCTAACCATCCACCAGCATGGATAATCACAGGGCAACGTTTGAACCCATTGCCCTAGCCCTGCTTTATAGCCAAGTATAGATACAGTTAGAAAAACTAAATTTGCTCTGCAACTTCTGCTAGGCAGCAAGGGAAGAAGATATCTTACAGGTGGAAAAAAAAATCATTAAATACTATAGTGGCCTTTGGAGTAGGTGGAGAGATGTGTGCTTCTTGAGGTGTCTGTTTTCTAAAGGCCAGCTGAGAGTGCAAGCAGAAGGATCTTCAATTGCATTAAATAAATTGAAAATGCAGAGTAGCAACCATATG